GTAGTTAAGTTAAAATGAAGTCACAAGGGTGAACCCTAATTCAGCATGTCCTATAAGAACGGGATATTTGAACACAGACACATATAGGGAGGAGAAGGCCATCTACAAGCCAAGGAGAGAGGCCTGGAATGGGCCTCATGGCCCTCGGGAGGAACAAACACTCCCAACAGGCTGATCTTAGTCTTTCAGCCTTCAGAATTGTGAGACTATATAATCTACTTGATGGGCTTTTTCTCCCCCCTGTACATTTTAGATGACCCTCAAAATCCTGTTAGGTTCCTTCTCAGCAAACAGCCATATTCTCATGATGAGAAAAACATCAGATAAATTCCAATGAGGTTCTACAAAACATCTGTTCAGTACTCCTTAGAACTGTCTGTATTGTGAAAAACTAAAGTCTAAGAAACTGTCAGAACCAAAGGGAGCCTAAGGAGACATGAGGACCCGATGTAGTATGGTACCTAAGATAGCATCCAAGAACAGAAAAAAGGATATTAGGTAAAAACTTGCAGATAAAAACTCGGAAAATATGAATAAAGTATGGATTTTACTTGCTGATAATGTATCAGTAACAAGTCATTAGTTGCGACAAATGTACTAGTATGTTAATAATAGGGGAGGAGCACCTAGGTGGCTCAGTCGGGAGAGCACGTGACTCTTGGATACATTTGTGTTGTTTAAACCAAAACCAAAGTTGTGGTGCTTTGTCACAGCAGCCCCAGGAAACCTGTATTAGGAAGCCCTAATACACAAGTTCTTTTGTTTGTTTTTCTCTTTTGTGTTTTTCAGCTTGAAGCAGCTAGGTACTTTTGGAAGATGTCTGAACTCATGGACATAAGAACTACATACACTTCACTCTTCCTATTTATATACTGCAAACTGTTAAGAGTATATACACAATAGAATCGAACAGCAATATTTAGTTCCTACTAACTGATTAATGGGTGGTCGTCTTTAACCACTGTTTCCAAGAGAAGAACAATATATGTTCTGGTCCAGTCTAAACGATAAAATGTAGAGTGTCAAAATCATCAAGAAAATTTTATGAAAGTTTTACTCTGTGACTGTTACTGTTCTAAGCACTTCATGTTAATTATTTAATCCTTACAATTACCCTGGGAGAAACACTGGTATTATCTCCACACCTTGCTGCTTTGCACATTACCTCTTTATTCAGGCCTGTGCTAGTAACTATGGAAAGTTCTGTTCTTCCCTTAGGTGTGTGCCTAAAATATATTATTTTAAGAACTAATACAGACATGGCCGACGAGAGGGATCCGCAGGACGCTGCGCACGACATGGGCAACCACCTGCCACTCCTCCCTGCAGAGAGTGAGGAAGAAGATGAAATTGAAATGGAAGTTGAAGACCAGGATAGCAAAGAAGCCAAAAAACCAAACGTCATAAATTTTGACACCAGTCTGCCAACATCACATACATATCTGGGCTCTGATATGGAAGAATTTCATGGCAGGACTCTGCATGATGACGACAGCTGCCAGGTTATTCCAGTTCTGCCATAGGTGATGATGACCCTGATTCCTGGGCAGACCTTACCTCTTCAGCTCTTTCGTCCTAGGAAGTCAGCATGGTGCGGAATTTAATTCAGAAAGACAGAACCTTTGCGGTTCTTGCATACAGTAATGTACAGGAGAGGGAAGCACAGTTTGGAACAACAGCAGAGATATATGCCTATCGAGAAGAACAGGATTTTGGAATTGAGATAGTGAAAGTGAAAGCAATTGGACGACAAAGGTTCAAAGTTCTTGAGCTAAGAATACAGTCAGATGGAATCCAGCAAGCTAAAGTGCAAATTCTTCCCGAGTGTGTGTTGCCTTCAACCATGTCTGCAGTTCAGTTAGAATCCCTCAATAAATGCCAGATATTTCCTTCAAAACCTGTCTCATGGGAAGACCAGTATTCATATAAATGGTGGCAGAAATACCAGAAGAGAAAGTTTCATTGTGCAAATTTGACTTCATGGCCTCGCTGGCTGTATTCCTTATATGATGCTGAAACTTTAATGGATAGAATTAAGAAACAGCTCCGTGAATGGGACGAAAATCTAAAAGATGATTCTCTTCCTTCAAATCCAATAGATTTTTCTTACAGAGTAGCTGCTTGTCTTCCTATCGATGATGTATTAAGGATTCAGCTCCTAAAAATTGGTAGTGCCATCCAACGACTCCACTGTGAACTAGATATTATGAATACATGTACATCTCTTTGCTGTAAACAATGTCAAGAAACAGAAATAACAACCAAAAATGAAATATTCAGTTTATCGTTATGTGGGCCGATGGGCCGATGGCAGCTTACGTGAATCCTCATGGATACGTGCATGAGACGCTTACTGTGTATAAGGCTTGCAACTTGAATCTGATAGGTTGACCTTCTACAGAGCACAGCTGGTTTCCTGGGTATGCCTGGACTATCGCCCAGTGTAGGATCTGTGCAAGCCATATTGGATGGAAATTTACAGCCACCAAAAAAGACATGTCACCTCAGAAGTTTTGGGGTTTGACTCAATCTGCTCTGTTGCCCACAATCCCAGACACTGAAGATGAGATAAGTCCAGACAAAGTAATACTTTGCTTGTAAACAAATACATTAGGGATAAAGTTATTTATCAAGTTGGTCTTCTAAAAATCAGATCTGCTTTGGAAATTCCTGCTTTTGATGCATACCTAAGTTGAAAAGGAACATTACATGGAAGGTTCCAAATGGTATTTGAAGATTTAAATTAAAATTAGGAATATCTACTTTAGTACCTTGGTACCATTATACTCTGGCTTGCCAGAATGTCCCTGATAGGACATGAAGTCCTCACTGAAAGTGATGGTTTCCTGCAGAAAACATAGTTGAAATTCCTCTTTTTGAAAGAGGCAAAGAAGAAAGGCTTTAATTTTCTTTAGTTTCTCTCATACTGATTTGTAAATTTTGAAAATATTAAAGAGTTAAAATATGCAATTTGAGCCCCCAAAAAGTGTTCATTTCCTTATGTATTTGTTAGTGAAAAACAGTAACTTATGTATTTACTCTTTAATTTGAACCTAAACTACTATGGAGCAGGGATGCTAAAACATACCCTGTTCAGGACAGTGACTCTATTTTGTAAGCAATTTTGTTCCATGTAACTTGAAAAAAATTGTAAGTAAACTTTAAGAGCAAACAATATTACACATCCTCATTGTTTAAATAATGTAAAATATTTACTCACAAGCCAATAATTTAAGATGAAGTTCTAGATAGACTGATTTGCTACCTACCTCTTTGCTTATATGTTCAAGTGTTTTTGGATCCTTTCACATTTGTGTAGTTTTGATATTCCTTCACTGCTTTACAAAATTAACTGGGAAAAAAGTTCAACCAAGGGGGGAAAAATGTATGAGGCCCAGCCAAAAGCAGACTGTTAAAATCTGTGATGTTGTAATATATTATTTTCTTTTACCAAACATGCCATGGCTGTGACTGCCTAGACTTAAAACATCAACTGAATCTCATGCTGCATTATTTATATACAGGAAGTAAATGAAACGCAACTCAAGAATGCTGTCAGTTCTTTAAGAGTATATGCCAAGATTGTAGTTTTTTTTCCTAAGCTATTACAACTACTGAGAACATTGGGTTTATAGGACTGTACTAGTTCTTCAGTCTTACACTAAACTAAAACTTATTTCCAATAGCAAAGCACATCTCTACACTGAAACCAGTCACAGAGAAGGAACGCTGCTTTTACTTTTGCCATCTGAAAGGTGTAACCTCAGAATGTTCTATTTTGTTTACTGACACTTGCAAATAAAAGTTTCTGATATTTAAAAAAAAAAAAAAAAACGAAAAAAAGAAAAAAAAAGAACTAATATTTGGTAGCTACTTTTCTCAGAAATCTTTTATTCTCTCCAATTTATTTGGCAAAATGCTGGACATAAACATTATAAGTTAATGAAAGTTTTTCATAAGAATGCAACACTTTATCATTCTATGGATCACCTATTTCAGAATCATCTTGACTAATCATTTAAAATTCCATTTCCGGGGCTCTATACCAGACCTACTGAGTATATTTTTATTGGTGGGCCCTGAAAACTGCATTTGTAAACAAGCTTCTTGGGTGATTCTTATTTTGAAAATGCCATTTGTGTTTTCACTAAATATTAATGTAATTGATTAATTAATTAATTAATTAAGGCCTTGCTTATTTATCATACTGGAAGAGCATTTAAGAATGATAAAAGGATAGCAGCACCTGAGTGCCTTAGCCAGTTAAGCATCCAACTCTTGATCTCCGCTCAGGTCTTGATCTTGGACTCGTGGGTTCAAGGCCCATGTTGGGCTCCATGATGGGTGTGGAGCCTCCTTAAAAAAATGATAAAAAGATAAATATAAAATTACAATAAAATTTAAAAAATCAATGTGACTTTAAAGCAGATTACATGCTTTGGGAAGACAGGAAAAGCAAGCATTAATAATCAACAAATAAGCCTGGGAACATCACTAATCCATCTGCTTTACATTAAATGTCTCATTAAGGAGGATAACGTTGGCGTCTGGTGACTGACCCCATGGATTTAACCAATTACTTCATAATACTGCATTCCAAGTTACAAGTTCAGAGCAGGTATTGATGAAAAATGAATGAGTCAGAAAGAAGAAAAGAATTAATTATAAAAGATAGGGTATTCTCATTATTTTAGGAAATTTTTCATCAACTTGATTTCTTAGAAGTCAGTAGTTTTATAGGAAAGGCTAAATATTTCTAAGTTTCTGATTGGTGACAGAAAGAGGCATGTTGTGGTAGCCAACCTTTAAAATGCCCTCAACGATCCTCACCCCCTGCTATTCATACCTTTGTCTAGTCCTCTGTGATACTGAATAGGGCTGATATGCCTAATCAGTAGGATATTGCAAAAAATGATGGAGTGGGACTACTCAGCTTAGGTCATAAATGACACTGTGTTTTTTTCTCCTGTTTTCTCTTTGGCTCACTTGCTATGGATGAGGTCCACTGCCATGCTTCAGAGACAGCAAAGTACCCCCTGGAAAGATCCATGTGGAGAAGAACTGAGGTCTTCTGTCAACAACCGGTACCAACTTTCTACTCATGTGGGTGAGCCATCTTGGAGGCAAAACTCCCCAACCCCAGTCAAGCTTTCAGATAGCTACAAACTCAGCTGCCATCATGTTTATAACCTCATGAGAGACCCCAAACCAAAACATTGCATCTAAGCTACTTCTGAATTCCTAACCTGCAGAAATCGTTTGATATAGCAAATATTTGTTTTTGTTTTAGAGAGTGTTGTTCTATAGTGGCAGATAATTCATACAGATAAAATGTAATAAACTTAAGGATGTTTGGGAAATGCTGGAATAGAATTTAACAATACTAATGTATCCATTCTTGCTTAGCCCTCCAAATCCAGATTCCATTTTCACTTTTCCATTGTTTTTTCAGATAGCTCCTTCTCAGTTCTCTTTGCTTTCTTATTCTCCTCCAATCTCTAATGAATGGCCACTTCCCAGAGATCTACTTTTCTCATTAGTTCGTTCATCCCAGACCAAACCATCTTCTCTATGAGGATAATTTGTAGCCCAGAGTGCCTCTTTTAGGTTAAAATATACAAATGGAATTTGAACATTTCCACTTAACTGTTCAAAGTCAACATATCTGCAAACAGATTTGTCTTTTTGCCTTTAAAATTGTCCTCTTCTGACTTCACATGTGTTAGTGAAGCCATGCTTCTCTACATTAATAAACCAACAAGCTACTAAATCTCTAACTCTTCACTTATTTTTCTCTGGACTTCCTTCCATGTCTGATCTTTAAATTCTGTGAATTTATGCTTCATAACATCTTTAAAATTCTCGGCTTTTTTTCCATTACTGTTACCTGACTCACTGCCAGATCTTTGTGAGCTGATAATGACAATAACTCCATGCGGTAATAATTGCGCTAACCAACTTACCTACTCTTCTTGACTCCAATATCTCTTCATTTCCATCCATCATGCACATGACTGTCAAATTAATCTGTCTATACACTACATCCATTCCTTTTCCACTCACAAATGTCGATGGCTATTCCTTATCCTTAACTTTACCTTCCCCAACCCCTTCTCTAATTACTGCATTATTTTAATACTCCTCAACTGAACTGGGATTTTACTTTCACTCTAACATGCCAAATACAGTCCCTCTTCCATATATCTTGCCCATTCCATTCTCCACTTACTAATGACCTCCTTTGTCTTTCCTCACTAATGATCTCCTTTGTCTTTCTCTGCATATCCGTATCTAAATCTTTGTCATGTGTCACAACCCAGATCAAGTCTTGCATTTCTAATAGATTTTCCCTGATCTCTTTGGTTCATAAAGTGTTGCCAGCACATATATTCAAAGGCACAATGAATTCAAAGGCCATATTAGTCTGGAATGAAAAGTGAAGGATACTATTTATAAAAGTTTTCGGAAATACTATTATACTTGCTACTTGCTTCATTTATTTAGTAACAAATAACATGCATCTTTGTATTTTCTACCAATGAAAACTTAACTCAGCAGGAATCAGCTAAAATGGAATGAGATTACTGGAAACTTCTGGACATTCCATAATGTCATTTAGAATTATGAATGAATGTCGGTCACTAGTTAACTGATTCTAACCATATTGTGCCAAGAGGATTGGGTCAGAGTAAATTTGTTATACTCTAAAATAGAGAGGGGCACCTAAGTGGCTCAGATGGTTAAGCATCTGGCTCTTGATTTCAGCTCAGGTCATGATCTCACAGTTCATGGGTTTGAACCCTGTGTTGGGCTCTGTAGTGTCAGTTGGGATTCTCCCTCTCTCTCTCTCTGTCCCTTCCCTGCTCTCTCTCTCTCTCTCTCTCTCAAAAATAGGTAAATAAACATTTAAAAAATAAATAAATAAAATACAGAGTCGCACTGAATGTAGCTGTTTGTTTTTCTTGCCATTGTAAAATAGTCCAAGGCTTAACTGATTAAATCATACTTCCTACCAACACTTTATTAAGAAAAGAGAGCACCACTGTCTTTCTTTTAAAATTAAAATAATTTTATGTGTCCTTGAACTCTCTTAAATGCTAGCCCTAGGGGCGCCTGGGTGGCGCAGTCGGTTAAGCGTCCGACTTCAGCCAGGTCACGACTTCAGCCAGGTCACGATCTCGCGGTCCGGGAGTTCGAGCCCCTCGTCGGGCTCTGGGCTGATGGCTCAGAGCCTGGAGCCTGTTTCCGATTCTGTGTCTCCCTCTCTCTCTGCCCCTCCCCCGTTCATGCTCTGTCTCTCTCTGTCCCAAAAATAAATAAACATTGAAAAAAAAATTAAAAAAAAAAATAAATGCTAGCCCTAAGGGCCAAGCCTACATAATGGTTTTTCTTTAACAGCACCAACATAGAACACATGCCAAAGCCCAGAGAGAACTTCATAAAGTAATTTACAATTTATCCAACTACAAACTACTGACAACAATATCATGGAACTTTTTCATGTTTATGGGTCTCTTCTCCCTCTATAGATTGCCTGCCCCTCCAAGTCAGACACCAGGTTCAATAATTCATTCAATAAATGTTTACTCGACATTAGTTCTTGAATGATTCATTGAAAGATATGAGGCAAAATTGTAGGAGGCATGCAAAATTCTGATTTGCAAGCAACAAAAACCAACCCTGGCCAATTTTAAGAGAAAAAGAAAAACCAATATGTTGAAAAGCCATTGGGTGGTACATAGAATTATGTAGAAGACTAGCAGAAAATAGGCAGGAAAAAACACGGCAGGACCATGACATCAAACTGTTTGGACAAAAACGCCGATGCCCTACATCTGATGGTCAGATGCTGGAACTCCCAGCACTGGACTTTGGAGGCGACTCTTGGTACTGTTGCCTGGGAGACTGGGTGTTGCTGCCACTTTTTGCTTTAGATTCAAAGTCTGTAGTAGGCATGTCTGCTATGGTTATGCACCCCAGCAGCCACAGGCTAGGGAAACAGTGATAATTCTTTCCAGCTTCAACAGCAAGAGGGGGTAAAATGTAGAAAGAGATAAAACAAATCAAGCATGGGAATGAGATTCAGATGCCAGACATTAAAAAATAAGTTTGTTAAAAAAGGGTATACATCTATTTTGATTCATTATGATCATTTTGCACTTCAGATAGATCACCCTAGCAGGAATCTTGCAAGTAGATTACAGAGCCAAATTGGAGTTTCAATCCGAAGATCCATACAAAACTTGAAGCTAACATGATAGGAAGGAAAAAATGGATTTGAGAGAAAGTGAGGTGATAAACTTGACAGAATTTGGAGATTGATTGGACTTGATAAACAAAAGAAGGTTGTCAATAAATGCTCTTAGATTTATGGCCTGGGAGACCATGTGAATTAAAAAAGAAAATTTGGGAGTATTAGAAAATTTAAGGAAGATGATAAACAGTGGTTAGGGGGTGTTAAATATAAGGTGTATGTGATAGTTTAAATATGGTTATAAAGTCTTTACAGGTTTTCTTAGCAAGACATAGAGTCTATTTTCCCGCTTCTTAAGATATAGCTGGTTGTATGATTTGCTTTGACCAAGAGAATATGGCAGAAGTAACATGTGACTGGTAAGTCCCCACGATAAGTGGTCTTACAGTTTCTATTCTCAACTTTTTGGAATGTTGTCATCACCGTGTGAAGAAACTAGCCTCCTGAGGACTAGAGAGAACATAAAGAGAGAGAGTTGCAGCCATCCCAGCATTCTGAGATGAGATCCCCCAATACATGAATGAGGCCATTCTGTACTAGCCAATCCCCAGCCAACCCATTTGATTACTGCAGCCACCTAAGTGACCTCAGGCCAGACCAGCAGAAGAACCACCCATCTGAGCTCCAAATTACAGAATCATAAGCAAATAAATTGTTGTTTTTTAAAGATATTATTTTAGTATAGCTTTTCATATAGCAGTGGAGAACTGATATATTGCTAGTAGAATATCCAGAGGAAAATGTCCATTTGGGAGTTGGATATGAGTCTATGAGCACATATCAGAGATAATATGGCCATTATGATGATGGTCAGTACCAGGGACTGTATGAGATCATCCAGTATGAGATCATATTATTTCAGTCATGAGCAAAATCATTAATTTAAACCAACATTTAAGACATGAGTAGAGAAAAGAAATTAGTGAAATTATAAGAAGCATCCAGTAATGATTCAAGCAAATCCATTATGTTAAACAGCCGGGAAGTCATGGATAACCTTTGTGGAAACAATTTGTGTTTTTTGGAATGTTGGTGTAAAAGCCTATTGTTGACGGGTTGACACATCAGTAGAAAGCAAAGAAAAACAGATGGTGAGTGGAGATATCTCTTTGCAAATACATTCATGAGACTAAAACCAAAGATAAAGTAAAGTTGGAGTGTTTTTTTCCAAAATATGAAAAAGATACCAGCATGTTTATAAAATGGCATGAAACTTAAAAACAGATATTTAAGTTATTCCAAGATTTTAGCGATGATGGAAGTTTCTTGAAGAAAAAGTGGAAGTAGGGAACAGGCATAACAGTAAAGAGACTAGCCTTTTTCATGAATAAGACCTGTACATCTGTGACCCTGGAATTAAGAATAAAAACTCCCAACTAATTCCTGGGAGTGGGACCAAGGATGGGGGAGTTGGGGGATAGGAGAGGCACGATCTACAGTGAATTAAGTGCCAGGTAGAAACAGGAAACAAAAGTAATTTCTGTCTAAGATTCTCCATTTTCTCCATAAGTTAGAGATTATTTACCTTCTCAAAGTGGACATATATGAAGAACAAGTAGACTCAAGGAGAGTGGTAAAGATTTGAGTAGGGAATGGGAGAGAATATCTGTGGTTGTTTACTTATGGCCACATATTCTTTGTAGTTCTTCTTAGCAAGGACTGGAGCCTCTTTCCCCAACCCTTGAAATCCAGTTGGTTTTATGCCTTGCTCTGAGCAATAGAATGTGGCTGAAATAGACGTGACTAACAAGCCTACAAGATCCAAGTTCAAATTTTAGCTCTGCCACTTATTAGCTGTATGATCTGTGGAAAGTGTATTTGCTCATTCATTCATTCATTCTTTCATTTA